TTTAGCTTCAGCAAGGTGTTCTCCAGCCTTTCATCATCTGGGGGAAGGAACAGCTATCTAATCAGCTTGTCTGAAGGAAATGCCTTTTTAATGAGTCCAAGTCTCCAGCAGGACTCAAAATAGCAAGGCAGAAGTGTTTATAGAAAGAAATTGCATTAAAACTGTTAGCAGTGGTATCTTGGAAATGACAACTGCTGATATATCCACAAGCTGTCCCAATCTCAGCCCTCCTTACTGCTCTACACCCATGGCTGATGTGCATACTTATACCTCCATTCTACAGTGGTAGATGATTAAAATCCTTTCCTGATGCCTCCTTTCTGTACCAGCTGATCCATATGATTTTGCACCACAGAATCACAAAACAGAATTTCAGAGCCATCCCAAGGAAAAGCCTCTTTGCTAGAGTCCCGGGATTTCTTATTTATGTGTCTTTCTTTTAAACATATCTGAAGTTATTCCTCATTTTCTTAATATGTAAGCCTTCTCTCAGACAAATGCACCAACTAGGATCAAGCAGGGGTGCTCAGGGGACATGATTTATGCTATATGCAGCACATGAGCTTTCCTTTCATCCAAATGGCTTACAGCAAATGGAAACTGGCCTTGACATGGCTGTACTGTCCTGAGAAGAAACCCAAATGAGAATGGTACCTGCGACAGCTGTGCCTGATTTTTAACTTCACTGCCATAATTTTGAATGGAGCAGAATGCAAACCTCCCAGGAACGTTATTTTCCAACACCTAATGCAGCGCTCTGACATCCTCACAGCCAGGTGAAAGCATCTACCCCTCATCAAGGGGCAGAACAAGTGTCCACCCAGCAGACAGAAGCAAGCATGCCCCGAAGGTGGCTCTCAGGAAAATATTCTTCAGTCAGTCTTGCAATTACACCAGATTAACAGTGATTTGCAGCTAGGCTGGCACCCCAGGCCATGCGGCAGGAGAGAAACCCTAAAGCTGCACTGCACAAACACCTCCCATAAAACCATAGCCGTGGGGAAGGGTGAGGATGCAGATACTTGGATGAGTATCAAACCCTAATAGCTGTTCCTGACCTACAGCAGTATAAAGGAGAGCAGGGAAATATCCAGTTGCCTTGTAAGAAAACACCTAGAGCTGTTCTGGTGAGAGAAGATAATAGTTATGGCCACAGTATGAATTTTGCTGTTTTGGTTTTTGTTTTTTTTTTTTTTTAAATACACCACAGGACCAACGTGTCTCCTGTGAGACCATCATCTCTTAGCACCTATCCTTGTTTTTCTCTGCTGTATCCTCAGTAAGAACAGGTACACTGGGTGCCTGCCAGTGCTCCAGTGAGGCTGTACTGGATGAGGCACACATTAGCTCCCTGGACTGTAAAACACGTCCGGAAGGTTTGGGAATACGACTCCAATGGCAACTGTAGAGATGCCTAATGATACAGATCAGCTGCTTGCCTTGGCACATTTCACAGAAGAGGTTTCCACCAGCTCTGCTTAAGGAAAATCATCCTCTACTGTTCCTCTTCCTGTTACCAACACTGCTGATGGTTAAGCTTAGATTTTCTTTTTATGTTTGCATTTTTGTCCCTTGAGGTGTAAGATACTGAGTGCTTCACTAAGATCCTCATCCTTCAGAGCTCTCCTTCAGCTCTTCTGTGCCAGCCATAAACCACATATACTGTAGGCACTGATTCTTGACATGAATGAAAAAGGTTATGCCTGTCTAGTATCAAAACACATGGTTACACAGCTAATTTTCAATAAGATTAACCACAAATAGGAGGAAAGAAATGAACTAAAGGCAAAAATTGTTTTAGGATAGTGACAGATCAAGAATACTCCAGCTGCTAAGGTTACTCAAAGGTAAATGTTGACATAGGGCAACAGGTACTTAGCAAGGAGATGTCTACCAGACAAGATGTAATAAAACTGTCTCAGGGGAGATGACTCGTTAAAGATTGCTGTGTCCAACCTTATCTATGGCAGAACGTTGTCTCCCAGCTATGAGTGTTCAAGTGTTTATAAAAATCTGACATGGTATCTGCAAGAAATTTAATACAAATTATTGTGGGGAAAAAAGTTGCTAACGTATGCTTTGGTTGGGGAAATAGCTGAGAATTGCCCTGGCAAAACTACTGAGGCCTGAGGAAAAGGGAGTATACTAGCTATAAAGTCCCTTTCTGTTCTAGGCTAATGATAATCCAAGAACATTAGTATTCCACACATTAGTAGTTAAGGCTGGGTCAATTTAGACCAGAAAAACTGTTTGGGTATAACAATAATTAACTATTAAATTCAAACAGGTCATTTGTCCATCCCTGAAGCACTCTACTGAGATCTCTCAGGAATGTGGCGTGTTGAAAGGTGGCAGAAAGCAAACTCAGGACTACTGACATACTTGAGTGGGGATGCACGACCCTCATTCTTTCTTTCAGCAGAGCAAACCAGGAGGAATTTTTCTAAAGGAAGTAAGTACAAGTATACAACATAAAGAAGAGGGAAAAAATCCAGGCATTCTGTCTCCTCTGGACAGAAATTTAACTGATAATTGTATTCTGCTGCAATAAACTAACCAACCAGATGTTTCAGATAATTAGTATTAGAGTCAATTTTTTCTAGCAGCTGTTTTCCTTGTGACAGACAAGCAGTATATCTGCTTCCTCAGCCCTGACAAACTTTTGCAAAGGATGTCTAATACGTGATCAAGACACGTGATGGCACTTGAATATACAAGAGCTTTAAAGCATCAATTCAAATATTGGTAACTGCGGTAGCATGTGCAGAAATTTATTTGGGTCTCTAGATACACATATGGGGAGTTATTTGAGTTTTCAGAGCTTTGCTGCCTTTAGCACCTAATGTAGAGCAGTCAAAATCTGACTGGAAAGACCAGCATGCCCCCCAATTTTTTTTTTTTTTTTTTGGGGGGGGGGGCAGGAATTTTAAGACTTCCCCTGCCATGATTCTACATGCTCAAGTGTTTTAAGAGACACCCTTCCATTTTCACTTACTGAAAAGTCTGTTAGATTGTCCATCCTGTTTATAATGTACCACAGCAGCCATCTGGAGCAAAGCATCTGTCTAGCCATGCTAATTGAATTAGTCTGCGAATCTACCCATCTAGAGATAGAGACCTTTCTAGCTTTCTAAACTTCAGAATTTTTATATCAGATGTCCCTAAATGAACACGTTAGGAAGGAGATGAGCACTTGTGTAGTCTAAAATTTCAGGAAAATTAGCTTTTTTTGTTTGTTTGTTTTCTTTTGGTGGAAGAACCAGTTTTCCCTGGATGGAAAGGAAACACTTTAGGAACTGGCAGAACTCTGTATGGATGAGCCAGTTGTTCATGACCTCATGCAAAACCCTTGGCATCTGAGGCCTCAGGTAACTTCTAACGTGCATCTTGAGAGGTGCACAATGTCTGAAAGACTGATCTGCATCTCACTAAAATGAAGACCACTCAACTGCAAGCACCAGACTGTTCCCCACACTAGTTGCTTGATAATGCTGCTTCGGGCCATCAGTGTTGGAGATAGTGTCCCTGGAGTAGAGGGGACTATTGACACCTATTGATGCGGCCCAGAGCTGCTGGAAAAGCTGTGGCCAGCCAAAGTTCAGCATGGGAGGGAGCTGTTGGCAGCTGATGAGCAAAGGGCAACAGCTGAGCATGCCAGGTCTCTGGCATTTGTTTCCAGCAACGGTCTGCAGTTCTGCGGGGGCAATGTGCATCAGCTGGGCTTGGTAAAGACTCATCAACCTGGGTGGAGACTCTGCTCAAGATTAATTTTCGGTATCGGATTTATTAAAGATTCTCATATAAAAGAAGGTCAAAATAAAAAGCCCTCAAACAATTACAGTATTTTGAGAGAATAAACTCAAAAAGGGTACCAGGAGGAAAAAGGGGATCATTTAAAATGTGAGTTCATTAGACCTCCTGCTGTGACTGGTGATGACTGGCTTGTGCCTCAAAAAATTACAATGTTCTTAAGTTCCAATTTTAAAGGAATTTTTACTCCTACGTAATCAGGAGTTTTGAAGCCTCAACCACCTTTGAAAATGACATTTAGGATTGAAATTAATATAGGTACTTTTGTAAAATGTAACCTGTTTCCACAGAAAACTGTTTCTCTCAAAGGCCACAGACATCTCGGTACTCAATGGACCAAGTACTTAAACTTCCACTTATCTGGAAGTTTAATAACCTGAGGAAGTAAGGGAGCAGCCCGCAGCGTGGACCCAGAAACGAACTGGAAAAGCACGCTTGAGGCGCAAAGCAGATCAGGTTTTGCTATTACGCCAACAAGGAATGTGATCTGTAATAGTAGAAGTGATGATTAGTGGTTTTTAAAAGAAGGTATCTCTTGAAATTAGAACTCAAGGTGGGAGTGACAACAAAAAGCGCGCTCGGATAGACGCGTGGCTGGGGACATGAAGCACGGAGAGCAAATGCTCGCCCACGTGGCAGCAGCGCTGCCACGCATGACACCTACTGCCATTTAATTTTTTGAACATGCCCATTTTTACGCAGCCTCCCTTCACCCTTTGGAAAGGAGCACTTGCAGGAGTATGAAATCAGGGCGCCCAAGCTTGGGGGGGGGGGGGGGGGGGGGCCGCCAGGGAAGGGGGTGGCAGGCCAGGCCTCTTTGGGGACATCTTGCCATCAAATTCCGGTGACAAACTCCCAACCCCGGGCGGGAACCTCCCCCGCGCCCCCAGCCTGAGGGCTCCGGCCCCGCACCGGGAGGAGCCGGCCCAGGGGATGGGGGGGGGGGGGCGCGTGGGTTGCGGTTCCCGCCCCCTCCCGCGGCCGCCCCCCGCGTATCCCGGGACGGGGCCGCCCCGCCCGCCGCGGAGCCTCCGCCGGCGCCAGCCCCGCGCTTTCCTCCGCCCCTGGGCGGCGGGGGGCGCGGATCCGGCCTGCGCGGGGGCCGGCGGAGGGAAGGAGCGCGGCAGGGCGAGGGGAGGAGAGAAGAGGAGAGAGGTGGTGGTGAAGGAGGAGGAGGAGGAGGAGGAGGAGGCGGCGAGCTGGCCATGGCAGCAGCCCGCGGGCGGAGAGGCAGCCGCCGCGGGCTGCCGCTGTGATTGGCACCCCGAAGAGGAGGAGGAGGAGGAGGAGGAGGAAGGCGCGGAGCAGCCGCGGGGCCCGCCATCCCGCGGCGGCGGTGCCCGGGAGGATGCCGGGGAAGCGGGGCTCGGCGGGCGGCGGCGGCGAGCTCCCGGGGGCCGGCGCAGCGCGGCAGCGGAGGCGGCGGAGGAAGGTCTCCTGCTTCTCCAGCATCCAGCTCTTCCTGGTGTCCGAGTGCGCCCTGATGCTGGCCCAGGGCACCGTGGGAGCCTACCTGGTGAGTGGGAGCCGGCCGCGCAGCCCCCCCCGCGGTACCTGCCGAGCCGCTGCCGGGCGGGGGATGCGCCGGCTGAAGTGGAGGGGAAGTTTCCTCGCAGCCGGGGCAGCCGCCCCCGCCGGGTGGGTTTTACAACGTTTCGCGGCTTTAAATGACTCAGCAGCGCGGAGGGGGTCACCCTTCTGCCGTGCCGCTCGCGGGGAACTTCTGCGGCCGGTCCCCCGGAGCCCGCCCGCCCGCCCGGCACCGCTGCTGGTGCCCGAGCTGGCCGGTAACTCGGGTAGAACGCCAGCCTTTCCAGTTTATACCGAGTAAATACCGAGAAAAACCTAGCGGGGTATTTGCTTCGTGCCTCCTGCGTTACTAATTCTCCCTCTCCTCTTCAAGCGATGCAGCCGCGTTAAGCGCAGCAGCCCCGTGAAGTCTTGGCGTTAGGTAGAGAACAGTCAAAATCCGACTTTGCACGGAATCTGCATAGTGAGATCTGGTGCCAGAGGCAGAACTGTAGTAGAAGAGTTGGAAGGATGTCCATACGTCTGTGCTTGTGCCTTTGAGTATACACCGAGAGAGGCAGCCTGTGAAAATGAAGTGTTGTTCTTCCAGCAGATGTGTGTAGTTGATTTAAATTTCTCAAAATAGCTTGCTGGATTTGAGAATTATAGTTTCCATGGAAAAGAAATGTATTCATAATCTCTGAGGCTTTTTGAGGCCATACACGTAATATATTATACAGTAAGTGTAAGATCTCATTCGCAATACTTGTGTTCAGTATTTAGCACTGCTCCTCTCTCACATGCTCAAACTACTTATGCAAATTTCTACTGAACGTGATCTATAATTTTTCAAAGTATGTGGCTAAACTAACCATGGTTAATATTCCCTGTTAATATGCAATGGAAATTAGCACTGATCTTCATATAATAAAAAACGTAAGTTTAGTCTGAAACATATGTGTAATTCCTAAGGAAACTACATCACATCTATTGAGATAAATTCAGCGATTCTATACCTTGTGTGAGTATAGGTGAATATCACTTAATTTGTAGGAGCCAGACAGGGGCATGCCTCTTTTATGTGAGTAATATCTTAGTAAGTAAATATATTGTTTCTGATGTGCTGTTTGCAAGGTGAGCTGTCAACATGAATGACTGCGGGATAATCCTCTGTCAAAGTAAATGGTCAGGAAGAGCCCACTGAGGTGATGTCACCCCGTGGGCACCAGTATGCTGGAAACGTATAGATCTGCTAGCAGACTGTATATTGGCATGCTTCGCTACAGTGTCTGAGCATGGGATCAGCAGTAATAGTCCCTAGTGTGGCATTTTTCTCAAACTCCTCTGCGTTGCTCTCTCCTCACCAGTTTAGGGTTTCTTTTCCTGTTTTCCCCAACTCTTCGGTGTGCTTTGTGCCGGAGTAGCGCGCTCGCTTCCTCTCGCTCCTTTGGAGCGTTTCACGCACCCCAGCCCCACCGGCTGGAAAGCGCCGCTGCCATTGCAATTCCTGGAGTTCTACCTCCCTCCTCCGAGGGGTTAACTCGACTGAGGTGCTGCTGTCTCTACCCTCTGCCATTCTCCAGGATTGAATCCTGCCCAACATGACATCATGCCCCCATGGCCAACGGGATCCACAAGCAATAACAGACAGCCGGTCAGTGGGGGGAAGAAAAAAAAGAAAACTCAACTCAAAACAATCCCCAGCATGCGTAAGCAGTGGCCCAGCTGCACTGGGCAAGTGTTCCTCCGTTCCCTGTATAATTTATCTGCCGTCTTTGCAAATACCACACCGCTCTTCATACAATGAACAGATGCAAATGTGGAATTATCTTTGGAGGGTAAATCTGTGCTTAAAGCAAATCTGGACAAGCGCTGTGCTTACAGGTGTCCTGAGAGCAGGAGCAGGAAAGATGCTTGGTGGAAAGTATGGAGGACCTAATAGTTTTTGGAGACCGAGTGTCCCGTGGGGCCAAGTGCTGTGCTCAGGTGCTGTCTTGGGGTGAAATCAGTGGAGGCACTGCAGAGTTGCCCAGGTGTAACTGCAAGTGGATATTCATTTACTCAGGCTCCTGGGATGAGCAGGGGCTGTTGGGCTCAGTGGTGGCATGCCAGGCTGCTCCCCGAGGGACAAATTAGCAGGTGAGACAAAGCAGAGAGCAAACAGAAAGACGGACAAATAGGGAGATGCTGCAGAGGACAGACACAGTGTGTAGTTCTGGGCAGTTGAATAAACTACTAATTTTAGCCTGTCGGCAGTGAGCAAGTACTATATTCATACTTCTGCTTTGCTTGGCCACACGTGTGACTTTCCCTAGTTATTTGTAACTCAGGAAGAGAAACCTTTTTTCGCCTTATACGGCGACAAGTTGGTTTCCTTGGTTTTTGTCTGCCTTGCTCTGCATGGGGAGAATATGAGGGCAAAAACTCAGCTTGTTAAGAAAACAAGGCAGGGGCTTGGCTTCTTAGGAATGATTGAATATCTCAGTTTTGATTGGGCTTGGCTTTCATGTCAGTATATTTAGAAGTGGATATTATTTCTTTTTAGAGATGTAAAAAATTCTTCTTTCCATGTTCGCTACACAATAAACTAGCAGCGCCTACTTGAATATATGTACAAAGTATACATTCATTCATTATGTGGTTTTGAAGCAAAGATCATTCACTTTTACTTGTTCATAAAACATTGTGCTTGCCAACAGGGCTTTATAAATAATAAACACTGATAAAAATCTATAAAGTCCAATTCTTTTCCCACAGAACTCAACAGTGAAAATACCCCAGGATGCCAACAGTGGATGTCTGTGGTTAATTAGTACAATATCTCTGAGGTTCTTCATGTGAAGTTTCAGGGAGTATTTGATCAATGTCACATTCCAAAATATTTGTCAATTACTGCACTCGCTGTTTGCAAAATGCACATGTTCCAAATGACTTGGTGCCATATCCTGCATAGTTTATGCAAATGCAAGCCTGTGCTGTTGCCTTAATTTCTGGGGCTGCTGAATACACCCTATTATTTGCATATTCTTCTAAGGTTTTGTGTATGCATTTATTTGGTTTCATCTAATTACTCCTGTGTGCTTTTGGAAACTTGAATTTCCCAGCAACCGCAGTGGTAGCGGGGAGAAGGCTGCTTGTAGTCTGCAGGCATTCCTGCTGCAGAAGTTACTCAGGGTTTTCGCAGCAACTTTTAAAAGCCCAGATGATTGCCACCCCTGGTTGCTCTCCTGCAGCGTAGGTCCACGGATTAAAGAGCCAAGCGCTTCTGGTGCAGATGGCACCAGGAGGGAAAGGCTGGAACCTCTGTTTTCCAGCCGGAGCCTTGTGCCTTTCAGGCGAATGCAGCAGTGTGATCAGTCATGCCGGCCGTGCAGCGATGAGGATTTCGATAAGGCTGATTCACATACCTTGGCAACACTTCCCTCCCTGTCCACCCCACCCCTGAATTCCTACGTTCGTTATATTTTGGAATATTTTAACTGGTAATAACATTCCAAGTGCTCCTGACAGTTTATCACAGGGGCATTTCATCACCCTGCCAGTCAAATCTTTTGCCTATCCACTGGTGAAATCGCTGCTTTAGCAGAAGGCAAAGAGCTCTCGGTTTGACAGCCACTGTTTGTGGAGCAGGAGTGCAATTTAATTTTCTCTCCCTAGCCTTTAGCCTCAGCTCGCTCCAGTTCAAACTGACCTAGTTGCAAGCACCCAACATCTGCCAAAGTCACGGGCTTCTTTAGATAAAGGACATGCATATGGGAAGCGCGTTGAAAAACAGTTATTTGGTGTGCTTGGGATAGCTGTTTTTACAGAGCTTTACTGAGATGTCTCTGTTTGCTGCAGCTTTGAATGCAGCTATTCATGTGTTTTATCAAGTGATAGAGGATGACTGGCCTGAGCATGAGATGGAAAGGAAAATAATTGGTCCCTCCCAAGGAGGGTGCATTGGTGTTTGCGTGGGAATGAATGCCAAATTGTTTCTTGTTTTGCTGAATGAAAACTTTTGAGCCATGCTTAACTTCCCAGCTAGAGCCCATGCAGCACTGTTTGACTGCAGCTTGAAAAATCCCTCTTAATGTATTTGCAGCAAAAAAATAGTACCATGTGAGTCCAGGTGAGATTGTGTGTGTGTGTGTGTGTGATCTCCGAGACAGACTCGTGTTCAGTTTTATTGCTACTGGGGTTTGGGATATTAATGAAAATTTTGAAAATCCATATTCAAGACAAAAAAACAAATATCAAAGATAAATACAGAAATCAATCATCAAAGTGTTCCTGCTGGAACAAACAGAAATAGGGGTCCTGTGAGATGGACACCAGGGAACTGAGGGATTAAGAGCAGAGTTTGGCTCTTGGATTTTTAAGCTGCTTTGGTGCACAGCTCCTTCCCCTCCCATGTTAAATGTCACAAATAAAATACTGTTTTCCTATTACAGAAAGCAGTTTTCTCCTGTTGTAGAGACGCAGTCAAACCCTCCTTGAAGTCAGTGGAGAGGTCTGCATGGAGGATGTCATTAAAGACCATTTTAATATAGGAGTACTGCAATGCTTCAAAATTTTCTGTTGTTCTTGGTGCTGTACAATAGAATTTTCCCCCTGAGTATTTGTAGTCTAATTAGGCTGGATGGGAAACATGTTGCATGTGGGGAAACTGAGGCAGGGATTAAGAGCTTGTTTCTGTTGCTGAAGCTTTTGATAAAGCTTTTGCTTGGTTAAGAGCAGCAGAGCCCGACTGGCATAGGCATGGGCAGAGAAGAGTCTGGCAGAGCAAGGAATTCCAGTTTCAGGTGCTTCAGCCCAGTGACTTAACTGCAAGAGCAGTTTTTCCCCATTGAATTTATTATTGTTTTTATTAAAGTATTTATTTTCCTAGAATAAGAATCAGATTTAAAATACTGCTGTCTTTATTTTTTTCCTACCATCCTCAGCAGTGCTGAGTAATAAATTAGCTGTAATGCTCATAATTTATTTGTCACTGGGGTATTTAAGGGGAAAAAAAAACATGGAGTG